TCATAAACTGAGACAATTAAGTGCATAAAAACAGCTTTAAATGCAAAAAATTAATGCAGAAAATGGACCTAAAGTAAAACTAGGCATTGGGTGCAGTATGATTAAAAGTGGTTCACCATACAAAAAGGTACCATGTATTGTGCACAGACGTATAATTATCTAAAACAAAATTATAAGAGAAAAAAACCGATATTCAAAGCCATTCTTCTTCAATTGGTACCAGGTCTATACAATACAATATTGAAAATCAGTTTTGTGCTGAACGTATAGTATGTTGTGCGTCCATGTCTCCAGTCGCAGAAAAAGGGACCATACTTCCGTGACTGTCAATCAAACATTGCGGCTTCTAAGCATCCTTTGTTGATATTTTCATTTTTAAAAGGAAAAACAAAAGTTATATAAAGGATATCAGAGAACGAAAAGTGGTCATTACTTCGTCACATTAGCCATACTGAAGACGTATTGATTGACTGAATAATATTTGGACTAAATAACAATGAATTTCATGTTTTTATCGCACCTACGTAAACATGGCCCTAGTTTTGGAATATCTAACAAACTGTTAAAAGATTAACATAATTGTGTCAGGAATTTTATTATTTTACTTTCTACTTTCTTACCCAGCTTACTATAGTGTAATTGGAACAGAAATACAAATTGATTGTTTGATGACGTAAAGCCATTGCATTACATTTTAAAAAAAACATTTTTACTATTTAATTGCATTCAGTTAATTAACAAGTAAATCCTATTATTTTAATGCCCAAAGATGAAATCAAAGTTTTTGCTCCTTCTCTGAATATGATATAGTTTATTTCTTAAAATATGACTAGTGTTACAACCTTCAAATAACACAATGTAAAATTAGGAAAAAGTTGCTTATCCAAAACATTCCACAAAAAATGTTAGCAATTTCATTTCTTTGAAAACATGTTTAAAAAAATTTAAAGAGAAATAAAAAGATGAGAAAATGATTCATATTTAGACAGAACATTGTTTTTTTTCTTTGTATCCTTCTGTACCAATACCTAATCTAAAAAAAAAGAATATAAAATATTTTAAGAACATTCAGTATGTTGATAAAAAAGAAGCAATCATCATTTTAAAATGAAATAGCCATTTTAGAGTTTATGTATATCTAGAGAGATAAATAGTTATAAACATACATGTAATGAACTGTTGTGATGAATGTAACTCGTAGCATGTGGACTTGTTGAACGAGAAAATCCAATTGGATGCTGACCTTCTTTACGTCCGCTTCTTATTTTATTACATCCCTCATTTTGGTTAACTTTGCAAAGAAAACATTATTTTTTAATAAAAGTTTTTAAGGATTTATAGAAAATTAAATTTAACATTCACACCTTAGCTATTTTAAAAAAGAAATTGAGTATTTTTTAATTCTAAAATCAATTGCAGCCATAGGCAAATATACTTACTAGGATATTTCTTTAGGTATTCTTAGAATAATTTTTTTATTTCAATGAAGTAAGATTGGCATCTAAATTTATGATATATAAAATGTGCATATAGCTATACGATTTTGACCAACAAAATGAAGTTTAGATAAACATTCGTGTACAAATACACAACTCTGAAAAATTGGAGAATGCGTTGGTAAAATACTCCTTAACGATACAACAGCAGACAATTCATTGATCTTGATCTGTCAATAACTAATTCCATTCACCAAGTTGTAAAACACTGATTAATAATTATTGATACGATTTTTTATCATAAATTTATTTTCTTTATAATATCCTACACATAATAAATGAACTTGCTTTTTAAGAGGCACTTGGTGGCAACTTGGTCTCAACTTCCATGCATTTCTTATAGAAAAGGAACACAAACAATCCCTGATTCATTATGCACAAATTCTTATATTCATCTGTCATTTTTATAATCATGTTGTTTTTCATAAGGACCTCAGCGCTCTATAATTTAGAAAGAAAGCTATACATGTATATGTTTTAGATTTTTTTTTAATTTTCAATTTCTCTATTGCAAAAACATACGTCTTTTAGCATCAATACAATATAAAAAAGAAAAAATCGAAATGGACGGTTAGACCTTATGAATCCATATCATACACATATATACATACAAATACATGTTAATAGTATTTACAGTTCATATGGAGAATGGCATATACATGTAGACTACTGAGTATAGTATATGTAGTAAAGCAATAGTCATATTCAACAATATAATAGTAAGAAATTTATAGATGAATTCCACAAATTATACAATTCTTTTACATTTTTCACACTTAATAACTGTATCAATTTGTACATAGATGGCCTACATTAATAATATTTTTTCAAAAACTTTTATCGTAATGTCATATATATTTGGCATACAAGTATAAAATCATGACATTCGTCTTTAATTTCTGGAGTACATATTTTACAGAATCTTTTGTCTCTTGGTATATTTTATGTCTACCTAATTCAATAAATAGATTAGAAAAACCATTTGGTTTTATAATAATGAATTTGCTCATTTTTATATATTGTAATCGGATTTAATAAAGGATTGTGGTTTATAAAAGGTAATTATTTGACGCATGTAGAGTACACTCTTTCGCAAAAGAAAGTAAAACATTCTGTTAAGTAACAGTGTAATCAATACATTTTGGATCTCATTTCCTAAGATATTATGGCAAAACAAATTAGAAAAGGAAGTTGAGTCGTTATATTTCAGTTCAATCTATTCGGATTCCTCCACTGAAATGTCGGTTTGCAGGTTCATGTATAACGTATTGTGATGGAAGTGAATGAAATAAGGTTCTTCAATCTTAATGCACGAATCTTAAGAATACAAACCACTGCAACGAGAGTCCCCCAAGCAAGCTCGACATTCAAGCTATCACAAGTAGGGCACTACACCGTCGATTCACATCATCCACGTGAATATTTTTACAAAACATACATCAACTCATTCGGAAAAGAAATCTTAACGACACAAAGCTTCCATATCTTGAAAAAGAAATGACATTTCTCATTTTAATGAAAATTTTTCAAAACTCAAATGTAAAGATTTTACAAAAACGATCATTTTGGAAAAGGATTATTTTTCTTACTAGTTTTACTAAGAAGAACAGTTTTATTTAGTAAGTTTTCAATTAAAATTATATTTCATTAAGTGTCTTAGTCGTTTCATTAATTGTCTCTCTTTATAAAAAAAAACAGTTATCATTGAAAACAAAATTTGCAAACGGATAACGTTTGTGACTGAAGATCAAAATTAACATTAAGGACTTTGTATTTGTTCAGATCAGTTCTATATAGATGGTTTTTCTATGACATATTTTGCCTCGGAGTTATTCCCCTTAGCCGCCATCTTGTAGGGCAAAGCAGTAAATTTTCCTCTTTGACCAACCAACTTTAAACATGCATGCCAGAAATATATGGGGGAAAATATTTGCAATTTTAAAATAATAATTTATAGAGGCTTTAACTTATATTCATAAGAAAAATAGTGTTATCTTTACCCCGGTAACCAGTATATCAAATTGAACTTGGTTGAATAATGAAGGGATCTGGTAATGTTGCCCTACAATATGGCGGCCATGGGGAATAACGCTTTCTTAAATCACCTCAATGGAAAACCATTAGTAGAACAAACGTGTTACAAAAATATTATTTACATTGATATTCATCATATACATGTACAAGCATATTTTAAGGAAAAATGTGACAATCTCTTACATGTAGTTTCTCGAACAGGGTCCTGTTAGAAAAAAACCCCCAGAAGATCAGAACATAAAGAGAGAAACATTTGTGAAAATTGTTGCTTTAATACAATATATATTTCCTTGTTTCATTTTTTTTAACCAAAGTCTTCTTAGGAAAGTCTCGCGCTCCTGAAAACGAGATAAAGACCATAAAATGAGAGCAAGCTGAAGTCGAAATTTCAAATCAATCCATAACTTTTGAAATAATTTTGATAACAAAACACAATTTTAACCATATGTTGAATTTGGAATATTACACAAACCTGCATATTTTTGATAATATAAGTGTAATAAATAACAGGCTATTCCAAATCAAAATTTTGTCTTAAGGTAGGATTCTTCTCATATTTCTAATATTTAAAAATTAATGAAATTTTCACAGAATCAAGAAGACAATATCAGTAAGTGATAGTATCAGTGAAATTAAATTTGACCGTTTTATATTTGAGGCAGGGTCAGGTCAAGGTCATTATCTTTTTCCTTGACATTAAGAATAAAAAAATACTGTTGCCAATCATGTGATACCTACTTCTATTTCAAAAGTTTAAAGATTGTTCGTTTTACATAAAACATTTTACTAAATCGGGTCTATAGCATGATATTACCAAATTTACATAAATAATTTAACTTAACTGGATATTGGCTAATCCGAATTTTCTCTGTTTTTCTTAATTTTTTAGGATATATTAGTTATTTTCATATGCTTCCTATATTTAACTTTTTCTTATTTTCACATATAATAAAGTAGACTTAAAAATGTACAAAATGATACAAAAACAAAAAGTTTTGATCGTTTACTTACTTTTTATGGATTTTTGGCTCAAAGCTGCACTTTGATAGGAAGCGTTTAAAAGCTAACAAAGTTCTAGTTTGTTTTGGAAAATCATATTTATTTGATATACCTGTATTTTGAAAGTTTAGTCCCTCATTATTAATTTAACTTACATTTGAAAATTTCTCCAAGTCTTCGATTGTTTAAAAATTATAACTTAATTCATTGTTGTATGATAATTTTGAGAGGCAGAAAAGAAGATATTTTCATACGCCACCATTCCGCCAAAAATATAGTTTTCGAACATCATTTACCATATCTATTTAAAGTTGTACAATTGTGATGAGGAAAGAAAAATATGGTCTTTTAAATTCCTTACACCTAAATATATAAGACATATTTAAGCAAATATACTTTTAATGTTTCTTCTAGTCAGAAACCAGAGAAGAATCCTACCTTAAGACTGCTCTCAGTTTATGTTCTCCAGGCAAGAATTTTAACTTAAATTCTAAAACCCTCAACAATGTTTTTGGACCTTAGAACAAAAATGCTATTTGACATTGATTGTGCATATCGAAAAAAAATTGTTATTGGCTAATTTGTTGTCCCCCGCTTGAAAAGTGGGGGATATTAATTTGGGTTTGTCCGTCCGTCCGTCTTTCTGTCTGTCTGTAACGCGTTCGTTTCCACACGATATCTCGAGAACCCTTTGAGCTTTTGCCATGAAATTTAGCATAGCAACTTCCTATGGACTGAAAAAGACTACTATTGATTTTGAGGTCAAAAGGTCAAAGGTCAAGGTCATAAATAAGCAAATTCTGTCCGTTATAACACTTTCGTTTCCACACGATATCTCTAGAACCATTTGAGCTATCGCAATGAAATTTTACATAACAACTCCCTGTGGCCTAATGAAGATTGATTTTGATTTTGAGGTCAAAAGGTCAAAGTTCAAGGTCGTAAATTTATACATTCTGTCTGTGTGTAACATTATCATTTCCGGGCGATATTTCAAGAAGATTTTGAGCTTATGCAATATAGTTTTATACCAAAACACCCTAGGACCTCTCTCACCCCTCTCAAAGTGCCCCGCCCCGTTTGTTTTATTAGTATTTATAGTATTACATGTCGCTATTTTTAGCACTGGGGCATGAGGAGAGTTACTGCGTATAAAACAGGTTCTCGGCGGACTTTTTGTTCTTATTACATCTATTAGAACTGTTTAATAAAGGCTAAATAAATCAAACACCAAGGATTGTGTAAAATTTTGAGAATACCGAACATGAATATACATATGTATGTGACTTCAGTTCTGCATATACTTGACTCCACGTGAAGCGATTCCGTAGTCTAGTGGTCTCTCGCTTCACATGTGAGAGGTCCCGGGATCGAATCTCGGTCGATCCTTTTTTTTTTTAAATACTTTTCTTTTTCTTTTTTTTTACTAAATGATAGTATTCAGCATGTGAAATGAAAAATTTATGAAGTTATAAAATCATCATTACCGTGTGATAAATATTCCATATAAAAAGAATCTTCCATACACATAATAAAGAATAAGCAATCAAATCTTTTTATGCATATTGACATACATGTATTTTATTTGCTTCAGTATACATTTATACTTTTAATAATTCTACAAATTCAGTCAGGGGGATCCGACTTTTTCCCTAAGCGGGGGACACGAATTCTCTGAATTAGCTTGTTTATATACAAAGCAAAGGGTTTAATTTTTTATTCATCCATTTTAACAGAATGACAAAGATGTGTTCAGTTTAAACAAAAATGAATGTAGCTGAGGCTTATTTGTTCTTCTGAAGCTAAAGAAAGTTCATGTTCCTTTTAGTTCAAACTTTACTATATTTCAAAATACATCAAAATATAATTTATAAAACAAACAAGTTTTATTATATATGAATGACTGAAAGTTTGAAATAATGCAGATAATACCTGGTTGGAAATACATGAAAACAATGTTTCTAAATTCAACTAAAAATAACGTCTATAATTCTGCTTTTATGTATATCTAAATAAATATCTTTTCTTTGCAATTTAGTTTATTTGCGGAAAGACAAATTGTGCCGCTACTTTGTTGATATCGTTTGAAATACCTACGAAACTTTCAGACAGCAGATGAATTATCATGTAGATGATTCGTTCTGAAAAGATGTCCCTTTTGACTGCATAGATCGGACCCTTCGTTTTTCTTTTCATATTTCTTTTCTTGTAAGAAATCAAGGGTCTTTCAAATGATCGTATAAACAAGGAGAACACATAAGTATTTTAAATGGTTCAGAAAATACGAAGAATACATTTGAAACAAGCAAGAAGGATCTTGAGGTACAAAGTCATCTTTGATCAAATAAGTCTACTTGCATTTTAAATTCTTCATTTCATATTTATTTATGGACCTCCAAAAGGTGAAAACAGTGATCAATCTCAGACCTCCTATAAACCAGATACAATGGGGAACAAATGAGTCCTTGAAAACACACAGTCAAATCGCTCGTGGAGGTCAATTTCGTGGACAAGCAAAATTGTACTTGTTCGTTGGGATGTTATTTTGAAGTCTACTTTTTTATACGGTTGATTCAATGAATGTATTTAAAAAATAAAATGGGGACAAAAACTTGTGGAAAATGTGTTTTTAGGTTGATCGCTCCAATTAATGATACAATTTTTGTTGTTGTACAATGTACTCTTCCACAAACTACTTGAAAAAAAACAACATTTTCTTTATATATTTATACCATAAACATATGTTTAGCGAGTCAAAAGAACCGATTATGAGTTGAACATTTAATGCATACCTTAATATCAACATATGGAAAAACTTGACCAAACCACTGGGTGCTTGGATGATGATCTGGCAACACGCGTTATAGGTGGGCGCCCGCCCAACTGGGCCACCGCGGAATTGTGGTGATATAAACAGTCTTTAGCGTTGACTGAACAAGTGCATTGGACTCTTAATATAATGAGAACTTAATTTAAATATATTCATTATTCTAAGAATTTACATATGTTTTGTCAAAACCTGACACGTAGGTAACGGTTGATAACCTGTGATTTGAATGCGCACATAAAGAAAACTCTTCGTTTTGTCTTTAGTATTCATATGTGCTTTGATTGTGACAATATTTAGCAACTGCCTGACAGAACCGTGTCAGATATAAAAAGCATATCACCAAGTTTTCCCCAACGTGCCTAGATAAATAAAAGTTGTTTTCCTTTTGGTTTCAGTGTGGTCAAAAACAAATGACTGTATAAATTCTTGTAAAATAGGATTGTTATAATGACTCACATATCTAGAATATTCCTTTACATGATTTCTTGAACAATGGTAATCAGTAATGTATAAAATTATAACAAATGCGTATTCTTTCAAACTTATACTTATTTCCTCTCACCAATTTTAACACATTTTTGTACGAATGCCTCAAAAGGAATTAAAACAGTTTAATAATTATTGTTTGAAAATGTTTCTCGATCCCTTCCTACCTCCCTTTCTCTACAGGGGGGAAAAAACTTCAGCGATTGTCTCGAAGAAATATATAAGATAATAGATGTAGATTTACTTATGTTTACAATTGTGGTTTTTTTTTCCTCTGTTAGTATAATCAATTCAAAAGCTAATGAATTTTTATTTCAAATGTCAGAGGTCATCCATATCCATTTATAATGCGCATTTATATTTACGGACTACTTTCAATTAAGGCCTTAATAACAGCTCAAAAAGATTTTAAACAGCAAGGTGACTTCATGTAAAATATAATTATGTATTTGAATCAATTGGTGATAAAAGATATTAAAAGCGGTTCATAGAATTATAGCTTCATTTTAAACAAGTCATGTTATCAAAATATAAAGTAACTATTAGGGATTGAATTAAGAGTACTAAATTTATTAACTGTTTAAAAGCAAAGATATTAATCAAACTAAATCTTATTGTCTTCGCACTTCTTTTAGGTCAAGATAGTGAAAACAATTCCCAAGTAAGGTCTGTACATGTACTTATTTAATAAATACTTCAAATGAAAATGGCGAAGATAAACTGTGATTGATTTCAAAAAACTAAAACAACACAAATCTTTAAAAGGACAGAAAATTCCAGAGGTGGGGTCAGCTGCCAAGGAGGGGAATGCATCTTCAATTAACCAGTCTCACCCCATATGAACCCTATATAATTATTGACAAACAGGTAGCGACACATTCCATTGTCAAATTCAGTTTAAAAACAAATGCCATCCAGTTAGTTTGAAACAAGTTAACCAATTTACGATCCAATGATAGATTACATTTGCTAAAAAGGTCATGATATAATGACCATATATATTTATCAAATGGCCAGTTTAAACGAGATTGTCCAAAACCCTGCACTATCAACTTATCGGTCATATCCCTGCCTCGGTTTTAAAATTAATCGTACTCTGAGCATACAGTTGAGTAGCAAATAAGTTGGGAGTTTCAGATTCAAACGCCATATCCAGATGATGACCCAATTTTGCTACAGAAATAAGGAAAGTTGACGATAGGAAAGTTAAAACGACTCTCCTAAATTTAGCTGTAAATAAGCATTCTTTTGAATAGCTGTAGTCAGTTAAACATCCAAAGCTGAAGGTCACAGGGATATATCAGTTAGACATAAGAATGAGAGCTATCGTTAATTGATTAAATATATCGACGATGCCATAGCAAGTGCTTTCTTCTCATGTCGAAGAAAGGATATCCATATGCATCTATGAGAACGGCAACGACTAAAGTCGTAACATTGATATTTCGTCACCAATCTGAGTTTGGAATGAAAACTGTTTTTATATAATGTTGTATTCTGAAAATTTAAAAAGCACTCGGTTCGATAGTTTCATTTACAAAATCTATCACAGAGAGCTTTAATTTACGTAAATTATAGTTTACTAATGAAAACGATTTAAATCAAACCGCTCATTACTAGCTGCTGATCTTTTACGAGCCAGCACTTTCTACGATGGGACCTCTGTTTATGCGGTCTCATCCTAAGGACCGGTCTCCAAGTCCCACATAGGGATAAGACATCTTATCTAAATTAAATGCTTACTATATATAGTATTATAATTAGTGCAGATCAACAAGTAGATAACAATTTATGTTCGAAGGCTTCGAGTCCTTTTGCAATTTTAAGTACTCGCGTATAGTAGGGAATGCACAACATGCCGTTTCACTCATCATGTTAAACCAATATCCGATCTACTTATCATAATTAGAAAGATAGAAAATTGTTTAATATTAATCTACGTTGATACTGATTTCTGCATTTAATATCGACATGCAGCTTATACACAAAGAATAGTAGTACATCCAGTAAAAACGAATGATGCAACCTTTTTATAAAATATAAATGATTAATTATTGTATCCCACATCTCACAGAGATTAATATGCTAGTATTAATAAATTAATTTTACCCCAAGAAAGAAAATCAATCAGTGCATGATATAACACTGAAATTAATAACTGCATGTAAACAGTTCATGGTCAATTCCACGATCGAAGCACGGGGTGCAATACTAAATGTATCAAGTAATTTGAATAAGATTATGAACAGTGATCGATCTAAAGTAGAAATTACAAACAATACAAATCTGTTAATATGGAATAATACACTACCCAGTTCCTGGAAAATTCCAGAGGTGTAAGCACCCCTTTTCAACGTTTCAACGGGGGTTTCTTGCTCCTCCGACACCTGACCCTACCCGATGTTAGAGGCACTTTTTTTCTCTACATCCAATTTTTATTGTTTCATTTCATTATATGATCAGGGAGACTGAAAATACTATACCAAAAATTTAGTAGTAAAATGTACTAGCTAGTATTGGTATGAATCTTTTCACTTACGACCCAGTGATAGAGTTTATTTGCTAGCAAGGTCTTCATTGCGATCATAGAATAAGTAAGAAACCCCTTTCGACGGTCAAACATACAGTGTATTAAGTGATCCTGGCACATGTATCTATGATCAATTCAATGTCCCAGTCAGCAAATACAATCTATAGCTAGCTTTAAGTCCAATGCCGACTGACGTTTTTCCGTCATTCTACAACAGCATGACCAATTATGATTTTGTCATGTCGCTTACACATTTACCTTTGTAATATCTTAACTTATATTTTAAAGATCGATTTCAGCTCTAAAATGTAACAAGAATAGATATGGGTTACCCCATATCCAAAGATATTCGACTTTTAGATTTAATATGTTTAACAGTGTTTATAATGACGTTCATAAAAAAAAAACTGCACTGTCTAATTATGGAACTGTTGTAAATTTCGTGAGTCCATAGCATTACGGTCACCCAGTCTCCTAACAAACAGTACACATAGGCCTACATGTACCTGTGTCCGCAAGACCAACATTAGCCTTGGTCTACACACGTGCGATGGAGCTGTCAAACGCATCCAGCGAGCTCGGAGAAACACGTTTTGTTTTGCCGAGAAGTTACGATGGCAGACAAAACTTTTCTTTTCTTAATTAGATCATATGAATACGAATTCTGATTAATAAAAATTATACAATCCCTGTTGAACTATATATAGTTTGTTCTAACATTTGCATCTGCAACAACTTGTGTTTAAAATGGCCGGGTTAGGAAAATCGGGTCGGAAAATTCTAAACTGAAAACCTTTTTTGTTTTGAAAATTACTGAAATATACTAATGTATTCGTCGCAGAAATTCTTACATTATTCAAGTTCTATATAAAATGGTATGCTGAACTTCAACACGAACTCGAATCTCCGACCCAGTTCTCGTTTTGCCACACATACCCTACAGTTTCCAAAGTGTACACACGAGTAGAATCCGGCCAGTGATTGAAAATTCCGTCATTTAATAATACACACACACAGAATGATTAATTTTTTCTTTAAGAAGAAATAGTATGATAATTAACGGACTATAAACATGTACTTAATACAATTGTTGATATAGTATTATCAATTCATCGGTGAAAAGATATGAATCGAAGAATGACCTAAATATTCTCTGTTATCAAACATGTAAAAAAAAAAAAAAAAAAAAAAAGAGGCTGAGGAGGGAGCGAGCGTAGGAATATTTATATTTTTTATTTGATTTCGGGGGGAAAGTGACTTTCTAATAATATTTTGACGTTATTTTTGATTTCTTTAACGTATGACATACACAACTTTACTCTTATCATGAACAATAATGTTGTATCTACTTATCATGATGGAACTATTTTGGTCGGACCAATTTGTGTGAGCCGCCGCTGAATACAGTAATATATCTTGCATTAATAGTATGCATTGATCGAATATATTAAAAATAGACACATCCTTTTGCAAATATTTACATGTGTATATTAGTGATATACATGTATATGCAGGTTAAGTTTTGACATGATCATAGAACAATGTTTAAAACGTATTCCACTGCAAATCTTGATGTCGCTTTATTCATTTACAAATTTCTGGACAAAATTTTCAGCCGTGAAAGTGTTCCAAAAGTTGCCCAAAGCCCTATTTCGGGGGGGGGGGGGGGGGGGGTAGGTAAACTTTTTCTCAGTGCCAACTACTTTCAGTACCATTCTAATACTATATTTACGGTACATCACTAAAGTGGGGGGGGGCAGCCAGGCTTTCCTTTAGTATAAGTAAGGTTGGGAAAAAAATGCCCCCCCCCCCCTGTTGCTGCGCCCCTGAACCATTTCTTGCAAAGAAATGCAGGGATCTTCTTTCATGCGAAATCATAGCATGTCGCTAAAATCGATTGACATCCGTAACGATTTGTTTTAGATATTCACGGACAGAATGAAGATTTCAAAAAGAACTTAAACTTATCTGAAATTGACCACGAAACCTAACATGGGTTCTAGTTGCGAGTCAGCTATTTTGGACGATAACTTTTTCTATTTAACAAAATGAATTGGAGCAAAACAGTTGTCTCTCTTAAAAAAATAACTTTCATAAATGTAATTCAGGAAAGTTTTTGCATTTA